ACTGCTGGTCCTTCACCTGACGATGGTTGGGAGAAGCTGAGTGAGAAACATATCGAAGCTGAGTCAAAGATCCCCGCTCCCGTCTTGTCACCAACTAGACCTGAGCCATTATTCAATAATGATGGTTAGCATTTAGTTTGACGCAGCTTACAGCAAATGAAATTTGTCCCAAAAATTTTGTTTTTATGCAGAAACCTTTAAATTGGTTGTGCAAATTTAACGAAAATCCCTTTTCAAAGTTGTTATAGCCGGCTACGTCACTGAGGACCGCTACAGTCTTTCGCAGGGATCAAGCAAAGATGCTGGTCCTGGAGAAGATGAACGGGAACTTACGGAGACAGTAGAAGCGAATCTGGTCGGAATCACTCACGATCTCATGATTGCTATCAGCTTTATCAAACGTGAGTTTGGCATTCATAGCCTTCCTATTTAGGAAAAAACGATAAAACATATTTTTTGACCCAAATATAACTAATTCTTGAGCACGCCGCGCACTGTCTATCAATCTTCTTACTACTCGTATTTAGAAGGGAAATGCTTTGCAGAGAGCAAATCTAATTGTCTTCAGTCGCTATGGCAATATTTCCTCCTAGATGACGATTGCACTTTTTCATAGAGCTATCGAACTATTATATAGACTATATTTCATTGCACTATAGAAAAAACTCCATTCTCTAGAACGCCTACAAATTTTGCTGAAACAAAGGACCTCCTTTACGGCTTTACGGTTTTTTAAGTAGAGTTCACAGACTACAATCGAGCTTATGCTTTCCCGCTCGCCCGGGAACAAAGACTTACTTCTTACTTGCAAACTATTTTCAAATCATACGCAACGGTTATTAACGCCATTCTTCGCCTCAGATTTGAAAACACGTAACCTTGACGAGGAGGAAGGAGTCTTTATTCCGGTTTGATACAAATTTACTCTGACGTTCACCACTTGTCGCAGTTAAGTAGGAACTTGAGATGACCATAAGAAATTGAAGGTGAAGAGCTGAGGGAAAATTATCCCGTTGTAAAGCAATTAGACATCTTTTCGCACCAATTTTGCGGAATGCGATTGATTGAGCTGTTGATTGGCAGTGTCTGCTAAGTATTTCCTTAAAATGTTTTTTTGCGGCCTAAGGTGATCATTTTCTTTGTTGGGGTCGAATACAAATGAA